CTTTATAAAAAAAGAAGAATTGTACTACGATTTAACTATATAGACATTCGATAATTTACATTCGTATCTTGTAAATAATTAAAGTAATAATTAAAAAAGTAAAGTTAAATAGCAAAGTAGAACCAAACGAATGTATTATTACCTATATTCATAATTGAATGGATCTGTGTCGGAAACATATTTTTTACGATTTCAAATGTGCCTAAAATCGAACGAATGGTTTAGTAGACTTTAAATGGCAATTATGGATAAAGACCCTTCTAAAGCTGCTAGCACACCAATCGATCGATGTCGATTGGTGTGGTAGTTTTAGCTGATCGACATTATACAGTACGATAAAACATTGTTCAATCATCGATCGACAATTAATCGATGTGGTTGCGGGCTTAGTATATTTAAAAACGTTTCAAAATGTATTCAGAAGAGGACAATAGCGAGCGGTCGTTGGAGCGGGGCGAATTCTCGAATAATCAAGGAGCTCCATCAAAGTCGATTAATCCATTCTTCCATCGATAGATGAAATTGATCAATTGGTATGGTAGAAACTATCGATCGAGTGGTAATATCCTAATTCAACCATGTACCGTTAGTTATAGTACGTGAGGGTAATATGGTCATCCGGTAAATATGGTCACTTTCTTATATCTCAAAAACTACAGCTTTGTTTACATAGATGGCTTTGTTATACGATAGTTCTTCATCGGTCAATCAAATATTAAAGGTTCAAAAGGGTGATGCTTTAATGACGCCATTTTGACAGTTGATATTACAGTAAATATTTTAGTCGATTTTAGTATGTGTAGTTAAATTTTTAAAGTAGATTTTTGAAGTGTTAATAATTATTGCCAAAGCTTGTTTGTTTTTTTTTCTTATACATATATTAGATATAGTATTCGATTTTGAGTTATCTCTGTCCTATTCCTAGTTTCGATTGTATAGGGCGGCAAAGCTTAAGGTGACCATATTACCCTCACGTACCTTATAATAAATTCCGGTACGATCGACTAATTGTAAGATGAAGAAGGAAGTGGTCGCTTTTTTAAGGCTGTTACGGAAGGCGACTCGCTAGCAATAAAAAATTACCGTTAATGTTGCCGCTACAGCCTATTAAATTCTACTGCTGAACATAGGCCATCCCATAGATTGCCTTATAGGGGGATGTTTGCCAAAGTTGCCATGTTTGGCAAGAGGGTTACCAACCGCAGTTTTTTATTTTTATTTGTTATTAGGAAGATGATTTTTTGTAGGATAGGTTGACAAACGAGCACACAGTCCACCTGATGGTAAGTGGTTGCTGCGGCCTATAGAAATCTACATCTATCCTAAATTACAAATCAAAATTCAGATGCATTGTCAACCGTGAGGACTAAGATGGAATGCCTCTTTTCCAGTAATCAGGGTCTCCGTTTCTGTACACTCACCATACGAAATACAGCAGCATTAAGCTACTATTTCACGCTGGTATTCTGTGAGAGCGTGGTCCTTCGCCGGTCGAGCCGATCCATTCGTGCTAAAACTATACTACCTAATATAACTGCAGCATGGCTCTACCACGTATAAAAAACGCTGCTGCCAATCTCCTGATTTGTTTCCTTCTGCCGCCTCTTACGACACCCACGGGATGATATGTGGTGGTGGATATTCTTACACCGCCACTACACGGTAAAAAATTAACTGCAGAGAATTCACAGAATACCAACGTAAAATAGCAGCTTAATACTGCTGTGTTTCGTATGGTGAGTGTAGAGATCCGGAGAACCTTTTTAGTAAAATTGAATGCCTCGTTGTTTAGGCATTCAAGTTTAGTCCTCAGGGGTGGCAATGTATGAGTTTTGATTCTTAATCTCTTAATTCTTAAATGTAGATGTCTATGGGCCACAGCATCCAATACCAACAGGTGGACTATGTGATCGTTTGTCACCCTTATTCTATAAAAAAGAAAAGAGTTGAATTACGTACACATATTACGAATTTGATCAAAAAGAGAACACGAGATTTTACGAGAATGTCTTCGCGTGAGAAGGATTTTTCGCGTTGGGTGCCGCACAACCTCATCGATGCTCAAAAGCATGTCCTGGCCTGTTTACAATAAGGCCGGTTTTCTCGGCTTGTTTACGACATTATCACAGATGATGAATCTTGATTTTATCAACACGATCCAGAAACGACACGCTAGTCGATGGTTTTCCTGAAGTGAAGGGCAGGGAAGTTTTGATTACTAGTTTTTTCACTTTGACGGGGTATCTGGTGGCAATTTCTTTATTTGAAATGAAAGTTGTATCAATAGAAGTATCATCAGATATTAAAATATAATGTGAATTTCGATGATACAATATAGCGATAGGTATTGCAGAAAAAAAAAACAAAAACTAAACAAAAAACTGTTTATGAAAAAGAATATCATGCCTTCTGTAAAACATATTTGAATATAGAATCCCAGATCATCGACCAGTTCAACAAATCGTAAGATAATTTCGTAGATAAACAACTAAAAGTATACCGCTTACAGCTTAATTCTTTTTTTTACAGATGGTAACGCTGTACCAGCATGGGCGATAAGTTTAATGGCTGGAATAGGAATGTTGCTAATAGGCGGAATTTTGTACATTGTAATGAGGAAAATAGTTCTGTCGTCAGATAGTAGATCCCTTAACACATATTCGCCAGCCATGCAAAATGAGGATGTTTAAAACTGCAACTATTGTAAAAATAATTTTAATTTGTTTAAATGTGTATTAATAATTATTGTAATTAATTTTTAAAATATCTAGAGGTTTACTGTGAATTAACCACTACATTTATAATTTGAGCGTAATCACTATGTACCTACACTCGACGAAATTGTATCCTAGTTATGCGCTGAGTCTAACCTGACAACCATCTCATTTGAAGTGTAGAGACTGGTGATATTGCAATAATTTACCTTGTGTCTCATACTGCAACTTTTTATCAGACATTATTTTGATAGAGTCACATTAAGGGGCGTCCGTTACGTTATGCGTGATTCCGCATCGGGGTCTTAAGTTGATACACTGGACTTGATCGTGCACATGCAATCATGCCGACGTAATGGATTATCTATTAATTTATTATTGACAAGCATATTTTTTTAAACATAAATTCTTTGAATTTTTTATCTATGTCTAACATAGTACCTAATAATAACCTTTCTTTTCATTGCGAACATAATCATCCATAATACATATAACAAATGAATTCTACAAAGACTGAGATGCTCGTCAATAATAAAATACTATGTAATATTTTAAATCGAGTGTACCGTCACACACTGAGTGTAGTTTAGTCCTCGTCACGCAGCTGCGATCATTTTTTTTAAAAAATCGCGCGCGGCACCTCCTGCCGGGTGGCCGTCGTAGGACACCATTTTTTTTGCGCCCGAAGCAGATAAGGGCAACCCTCCGGTAACGGGGTAGGGAGGTGGAGAATGCTCATAGCATACCACGCAGCCGGCTGCGTGGTATGGGGAGACCTTTACCCACTAAACTCCACCTTAAGAGATTGGTTTACCGATCTGACGAGAGATCTTTAACGAAAAATGGACGCGACCCTCCTTGGCAGAAAGGAAGGCGCAGTAGGACACCAAAGAGTATAATTAATATATAAGGAAAAAGGACACGAAGCCCGCGCAGTGTAGCGGACGTAGTGATGCTCTTAAATTTTAAAGTAACAGGCCAGACTTCTATGTAGATATACCACTATATTTTTTTAATAGACGGGTTGTGCTGCCGTAATACATTGCATACTAAGTTAAGGTCAATTCTTCGTAACTCCTTAAGTCGACTGCGAGCTAACGAAAAGTAGTTTTGTTTTATTCGTCCGCTCGTAGTGGACTTAGTAGTAGAGTAGTTCTTGTGTTGTAAACCGCGAACGTTGTCTCTGATTTGGTTTAATGTAACTAAGAAAATTAATAATTCATGTACGCACTTAGTTATCGTGATTTGAAGTTCATTTCATGTATATGTATGTATGTAGTATTTGCCTAAAAGCAGTAACTGTCGTAAACGAAAATACAACTGCGTGGCATATTTACCGTGCCAGCATCCCCGCCCAGCCGGCGCCAGCGCGATCTGCAACTGTGTCACAGTTTTTGTTCTCAATTGCCGTTATAGTATACCCCCTCGTCTGTCCAAACGCCATAATATGGCGTCGAGTGATAGCAAACTATTTGTAACATATATATGATATAACATACATATATATCTGCATGATGGATTTTGTCTAAATTTGATTTAATAATGTGTTTTTTTGTGAACCTCCTTATTTTTTGTCCCGATGTCGAGTAGAACTAAGTGAGGCCTTTCTCGACGTTGACGTAAACAAAAAAATTATGAATTTTTTTGTTTTTTTATAATTAAATATGCTTTGGACGTACAAGTAAAACAAATAGTACTTGTAATAAAGGCTTTAATTTTTAATTATTACACCTTTGCTGAAAATTGGGAAAAACAATTTTCTTACTTTCATTTTCAAATTAGTGTCACTTTCGAAGTAAACCTGTATTCAAGTTATACATAATATGATAGCTTATTTAATAGTTTCCATTGATATATGATTTTAATATACCTTTTTTACAAAATGTTGGAAATAGTCACTTTAATGAATAGCAGTAAGTAGTCCGGAAGTACTTCGGGAAGTGCTCGACAGATGCGCCATATTGGCCAAAATGACCCCGACATACGAGGGGATACGTAGAAATCTTTGAAACAGACATAGACACACGTACTTGTACCCGCGCGCATGCCCCTTTCAACGCAGCGGATGCCCTAAGCGGCTCAGAAGCGTGAGTTCTTATTAGTTTTAAACAACATACTTTTAAAATTTTGTAATGAATAAACAAATAAATAAATTAAGACCAGATTTAAGTATCTTTTATTTCCACTTCAAAAACATTAGATATTTAAAATTAAATCACTATGGTGAACATGTCAGTTTTATGGATTTTATTTAAGGAACGAAATGTGTGGATTTAGTGAGGCGATTTAGAATTCTCTGCGATGATACTTGTCGGGATCGTAGTACGACGTGACCACTACACGATTGCTGAATTTACGACCCGTAAGTGTTTGCTGTGCCTTTTGACAATCTGCAATACTGTTGAACTCGACAAATACCTGCAAGACAAATAATGTGGTTATTCATAAACCGTTATTTTTTGAGTGATGGGAAAGTTAATTTAAATTGAACGCTGTTATGAACATCATAAATCTATTAGCACTTTTATACAACAGATTTTAAATATTTTGATGATCAAAACTACTGCAGAAAAAAATTGCTAAGGTTTTTTGCTATGTCAGCGACCATTATCTTTATCATCGTCATATTTTTTGTTTTTTAAATAGGTAATTATATTAATTTTTAAGATAAATTACTTTTGCTAACAAAGTTATGATTAACCAGTGTCAAAAATCGATTGATAAGTGTAGGCAATCCTATTGTCACCATGCTTATGCTTTCAAAATATTCGTCAGGTAAATTAAAGTTCTACAGTCAAGAATTCTAGAGTAGTCCTAATTTCATCTCCTATCACTGTCATAAAAAAGTGCTAAATTTAAAAAAAAATTGTACAACCAACTTCAACATAAATAAAATGAGAACATCATCAATGTAGTTGAAGTCAATTAAATACTCGTTATTAAGGATAACTTAAAGAATACTGGTCATATCTTGAGCTGAATTTATATGCTGGGACCACATGAGAAGCACCAGCTTTCAAATAAAAAAATGAATCATCAAAATCGGTTCATACACATAAAAAAAAACATTCAGTTGATATGACTACCTCCTCCTTTTTTGAAGTCGGTTAAATTGTATTAAGTAAGACGATTAATTAGTAAATATATAAGGAGCTGTCTATAAAACACGCCACGCAAAACATACTCACACACACACATAGTAAATTAAACTGTCTGTTACCTACCTATCTAACAGTTTCAAGTTTTTTTTTTGTTAAAATATTAAGCCCATCACAGGATTATCCGCTGTATCAGAGACATTTTACATACACAAATTGCACAAGGACAAACATCTAGACCCGGAACAATTTGTGAATATGCAGGTTTCGAACCCACAGTAGTCCTGGGGCGGCCAAACCAAGTGTTTAGCCAATGGCGTTACCAAGTTGTATTAAGTAGTTGAAATTTAACAAACATATTGAAAAAAAAGCTTGATTATTATTATTATTAATAATAATAATAATAAAAATCTAGACCGAATTTCGGTCACGGTGGCCTGCCTCAACGGAGCCTAGTCATCGGCGCAGGACAAGATTATAATGCCCAAGTGTATGCGCAAGCACAGATGCACTCTCTATTCCCTCACTCTCATAATCCGATGGGACGGTAAATCGACACGACCGGAGACAGATCAGGCGCAGGACCAACGGCTTTACGTGCGTTCCGAGGCACGGGGGTGAGACACCGCCGACTTCCTGACTCCGGGCAGTTACTGAGAATTTCTGGACAGAAAAACTCAATAATTGATTTTTTGTCCCGACCCGGGATTTGAACCCAGGACCTCATGATCAGCAGTCGCACTACTACAACCACTAGACCAACGAGGCAGTCGTTAATAATAATAATAATTACCCATTCCCCCTAACCCTCGGCCGTTTGGTCTCCCCTGCCGAGGGCCTCCATCTGGTTGGGCTTTTATTTATATATGTATTTTTATATTTATTTTATGTTATTGATATTTATGTATATTTATCTTTTCATTTTCATTTATAATTATATATTTATAGAACCCAACCAGATGAGAAAACTATATTGATACCCCCCAATAATAATAATTAAACGGCGTAGGGAAGTGACGACCCCATCGCCCGCTGACGAAACAGTTAAGTTACAAAACTGCTATGTCGGTGCAGTCAGTCAGCGCCTTGCCAAGAGATGTGAGCGCCGTGCCTCGGCAGTACTCAGGGTGCAAAGGCCCGTTTGTGCTTACGGCCGTACAACGATACAATAAAACAGTGCCGGGCCTGGGCGTCTCCCGTTAATTGGCGCCTAAAAATGAATGATGGATTGTAATAGAAAGCGTATAGGGCCGCTGCCTGGGTCGCCGGGGCGCGTCTGGAGCTGGCGCTGGACGCGGCGGCATGCGGGCCGCCAGCCGAGCGCGAGGAGCTGTAAGATCACCTAGCAGCCTCCCGCATCCATCATCCCCACCAGACGGCTTGATATCGGCAGGGTCCTCTCGGACTCGGCAAGCGGATCCGCCGCTGGTGGAGTGCGCCGCATGCGTTGGACAAGGGATGTGAACGCAAACGCTTGCGGGTACTATAGGGCGAAAGGGGAAAAAACTGCAGGGATATCGTATCGGGCTCGGATGCATTGCTTTTTTGCTGAGCTGGAGCCGTCTATTCCCGTAACGGAACAAAACCTGGCAGACCGAGTTCGGTACATCATGCGCTCGTAAATATTTGATTATGCCGAGCTCGAAAGACTACGACGTGAGGCCATTCCCTCATCGAATGAATTGGCTACGGCTGGGGATGCGGCTCCTCAGGCGACAGACCAGCTGCCACGCGTAGAAGCCGCCATGGATCTTCCAGTTGTGGTTGATTCGGACGATGATGAAATGGTCTCCCACGAACTAGAGCAAATGAGGAGTATATTGGAAGAGGCGATTTTGGAAACGCGCAGCATGCCTCTCGAAAATCGACCGCGACCTCCCCGCATACCCCTAACTAAGCAAGCGAAATCGGGCTGTCGTGAGGGCTCTGAACCCTATGCTGTAATCTAATGGAAGCCAGCCGGGACCTTTGCGAGACGGACTCAGTTCCTTTTGGCGCCGCAGTGGCAGCTTGCCGTATTATTGGCGCCAAACTTCCGCACGCGCTACTAAATAAAGTAGCGCCATCCCAACCTGGAGAAAAAGAATTGAGGACCGTATCGCAAAGGCAAGGGCCCTTATCGGCAGACTGACAAGCTTCAGGTCGGGTAATAATAGACCGAGGGTTGTGCGCACCGTTAGAATGGCGTTTGCTTGGACAAATATCAGTTTGTCCCAGCCGGATATCACGCAGAAACTAAAGGAGCGCATAGACGACCTGAAGCAAAAAATCGCTGCTTGGGGGAAGCGGATTCGCCGATTTACCGAGAGGTCAAGGTGGTTCAACCAGAATCGTCTCTTCCAGAGTGATAAGAAGAGGCTTTATAAATCATTGGAGCGACCAGATGTATGAGGAGCGGGCCCAGGACCGGGGTACTGTCGCATTTTGGCGTGGCCTGTGGTCAGAGCCCGTAAACCACAGCAAGGGCCCTTAGACGGAAGTTGTGGCGAGTCAGTGTGCGAGTATTACGCCCATGGACCCCGTCATCATAACGCCGGATGACGTAGCTGAGGCGGTCCGTAGAGCCCCGAACTGGAAAAGTCCGGGACTCGACGGGCTGCATTCACGGGTTCACGACGGGTTCATGGTGTGTCACGCTGTGCTCGCCCTTCAGTTTCAAGAGGCTCTCAACCAGAAGTCGCTCCCTAGCCTCTTCACTACTGGGAACACTCATTTGGTTCCTAAAGACCAGGTTACCACAGACCCGAGCAAATACCGCCCCATTGCGTCTCTACTCACCATACATAAGACAATTCCTAGGCAGAATCACTCGTCACCTGGAGCTAAATCAGGTGATGTCACGCGCTCAAAATGGATGTCGGGGCGGTGGTCGTGGAACTAAGGAACCACTCCTCATTGACGCGGTCATTGGCAAAGTGGTGAAACGCAACCGTCAAAACTTCTCCGCCGCCTGGATAGACTACAGAAAGGCATTCGACTCAGTGCCACATACAATGGCTAAAGAGAGTCCTCGAGCTGTGTACAGTCTATCTTGCAAGATAGACTGTACAGTGAGAGACTTCCTCGAGCAGTGTATGGGGCAGTGGTGGACGATCCTTTATCATCTGGGCGAGCGGATGATGCGAGAACCACATAAGGATAAGAAGGGGTATCTTCCAGGGCGATTGTCTGAGTCCAATCTGGTTCTGCCTCTCTCTGAACCCTCTCAGTACCTTACTGGAGGGCTCCGGGAGGGGATTTCAGCTACGGAAAGGAGGTACAAAAGTGACCCACCTTTTCTATATGGATGACCTCAAGTTATTCGCCTCCAGTCGCTCCCATCTTATAGAATTGCTAAACATCACTTGTAAATTTAGCAATTCTATTGGAATGGAGCTGGGGACGGATAAGTGTGTGGTCCTCCATGTTGAAAGGGGAAGGGTTGCTAACTCTGAGGGCATAGACTTATCTATGCCCGTCAACTTAAGGACCCTTTCCGAGGCTGAAACATCCCGATACCTGGGTATGTCTATATATCGGTATCGATGAGGCTGGTATGAAACAGTCAGTTTGCGACGTGTTTTATGCACGCTCGACCAAAGTGCTTAATTGCCTTTTGTCCGGTGTGAATAAGACACACGCATATAACGGTTGGGTAATGCCTGTCCTCATGTATACCTTTGGCATACTCAGGTGGACTCAGACCGAACTTAACGCCCTGGATAGAAAAGTCCGCACTACCATGACGTCCCATAGGATGCATCATCCAAGATCGTCGGTAATGAGGATGTACTTGCCGCGAAAGCATGGTGGGCGTGGCTTTCTGAGCGCGCTCACCATGCATAATCGTGAAGTGTGCAGCCTCCGTCATTACTTCCTGGCGAGATCGGATGATCCATTCTATAATGACGTCGTTTCTAGTGATAAAGGGCTTACCCCTCTATCCTTAGCCAACGAGCAATGGCAGGACCCAGCAGTGCTTAGCATTTCCGACCGGGAGGCCGTATGGAAGAAGAAGGAGCTCCACGGGAGGTACTACAGGACTCTACAGGAGCCCTTCGTAGATACAGTCGCATCCCTCAACTGGCTACGTTTCGGTGACCTCTTCGGGGAAACCGAGGGTTTTGTCTGTGCAATACAGGATCAGGTTATTAAGACCAACAACTATCGGAGATACATCCTAAAGGATGGCACCGTCGACGTCTGTCGAGCTTGTCGCCATCCCAGTGAGTCGCTTAGGCATGTCATCTCCGGTTGTTCAGCGCTTTCTAACTCTGAGTACTTGCACAGGCACAACGTAGTAGCCAGAATTCTACACCAGGAGCTCGCTCTGAAATACGGTGTCGTGGACCTTGCTTTAGAAATTGCCGTATTACAAGTACTTGCCGGAAGCCGTGCTCGAAAATGACCGCGCCAGGCTCTACTGGGACCGGGCCATCATCACAGACAGGACTATACTTGCAAAGAAGACTGAAATTGTGCTGATGGACCGAGCACAGTCAAGGATATTTTTGGTCGACATTACCATTCCGTATGACGAGAACCTCGTGAAAGCCGAAACAGATAAGCGAACAAAATATCTGGACCTGGCTCACGAGGTGACTGACATGTGGGGTGGTCTGCCGGCCGAAATTATTCCTGTAGTCGTCTCTGCGAATGGGCTAATCCCAGTCAGCCTCTCGGGTCATCTGAGGCGACTGGGACTCCGTGACGGACCGCTCCGGGCTTAAATGCAGAAGGCAGTGCTCCTCGATACCGCCCGCATCGTCCGCCGGTTTCTTTCCCTTTCCTCCTAACCCTCGGCCGTCCGGTCTCCCCTGCCGAGGGCTTTCATGTGGTTGGATCTATATTTATAGAAGCCAAGCATCTTTGATGATATTAAACTATATATATATATATATATATATATATATATATAAAGCCAGCATGGAAAATATATATATACCCCCATAATAGTAATAATTATTATTATTTGATATATGTATATTATCTTACTAATATGTTGTTCCTTGCTAAAAATCAATTCCGGCAATTTTATTATGTTTGAACATATATTTATGTTACAAACATAAGATAATTTTTTTTCTAAGCAAATAAAACACAAATAGAGAAAAATGTGTTCAAAAAAGTTCCACTTTATGACATTATTTTATGGATGGCTTCTAAGATAAGCTAATAGGTACAAATTTTGTAAGTTCAAGCAGCTTTTTACCTTTCCACAGCCTGGTACGTCTACGCCCTCTAGAGGTCGCGGTATTTCAATGCTACGAACACATCCGTATTTATTGCACTCCTCCCTAAAACAAAATAAGATTAATTTTGAGTTTAAATAATAATTATGATAAAAATAAAATGTTATTAAGAGCATGCTTCACATATAGTAATATATTATATTATCTGTATCTGGGAACACTCACAGGTAAACTCTGTGGTGAACAGAAACAAAAGTGATTGCAAAAGTTTTCTAGTTTGTTGAATCTGGCATGGACTTCGAGAAATGATATTTTTGTAAATATAATAACTAATTAGTATAATTTAAAAGCATATACTATCTAAAAGAAGCATTTCACATGCTCCACCAAACATTCCACTCGGGCTTTAGGCTAACAATCTACACATTATGTTCAACTATAGTGCACAATACTCCAATAATATTCTCAAGGTTTTAGAGCATAGCATAAGACCGCTAAACTGCCCCAATGCGTATTGTCCTAGAAGTATGTAGGTTTAGTAATGATGTTATGGTGTTTCCTTATTAGCATGTACCACCTAAGATGTAATAACACTTAAATTTGCGATTAACAATTTAAGTAGCAGTAGCAGGGATCGTACGCATATCCCTTGCATGATATTAAATATAAGACAAGGGCACCTAGCTCCTGTGATGTCAGTAAGGTGATCAATAATATTGTGACACAAAAAACGCAGTGGCAAGATTGTGCGTGCCGTGATGGCAGATTATGAAATGCCTCGACACCTCTAGGAATGCTTCAGCAGTGTTCAGGATGAGGCAGGTAAGGCCACTTTGATTCTTTGCTTCTAAAACCAAAATCTTATTTTTATTGTGATCTAGAGGCTTAGAAATTCTTGCTATGAACACTAGATCTCAATGTACAATTTAAAAAACAAATACAAACTAGTTTATTTGCTTGCAATGTAATAATTGTTTTGAAAAGAAGTAGCTCGGCGCAATTACGATATCGCGATATGCTAAGGATACTTAAGTACACTGTGGCATAATTACTTAAGGATGGATGGCAAGACTTCTTGTCGAGCCTTCCTCCGCCAGGGGACCCATATAGAATGTCTTAAAATTCTCCAATGGTGCAAATGTTCAGTCTGTTAGTAATATTATGTTCTTATCTGCTCAACAATCAAAACATCCATCCCCACTGTGTTAATTATCTATTATCGGTAACTGTCATCCATTGCGGCGATTCAATTCCCGCCATTTAAAAAAAAATACTTTAATTACTATTATACCCCGCTTTTAGCGTCTTTTACAAATATATAAATTTTGATGAAGAAAACCATATTTATTATATTTTACAGTATAAACCATAACATTATACCCATATATTTAAAGAATCCGTAAAGGAGCCGTGGTAGCTTAGTTGGTTAGCGCTTGCTGTAAATTTCATAGTGCGCGAGCAAACCGGGTTCGATCTCTACCGGCACCAATAAAATTGTAATTGCAATTTTAAGTGCCGATTTACCACCTGTTAGGCGGTGAAGGAAAACATCGTGAGGAAACCGGCATGTCTGAGAAATAAGAAATAAAATATATTTGGAAAACATGTGAAGTTCGCCAACACGCATTGGGGCAGCGCGGTGGACAATTCCTTACCCTAAAACCCTCTCAGAAATGAGCGGAGGCCTGTGCCCAGGAGTGGGACGTAGTGGACGCCTATATGGCTGTAACTTCTTTTTAAAGAAACACGAAATTAAGTAAATTATTGATCCCAGGCAGTAAATGCAAGCGGCAATGGCTGCAATATTTAAGAAATGACGGCATTTAGAGACTGTTGAGGGGATATTTTTAATTGATTATTGTTTAATCATTTATATTAATTAATTAAGAAAGGATTACATTTACATAAGTAAATTAAGCATGAAGTTAATGAAAAAATACTAACTTAATATCTTCAAGGATATCTTCATATTCTTCTTCATCACGGAGTTCATCTGGTGTGACCATATTGAGGAGGCACAGTACTTCTGTGGCTGGGCCAGCTCCAGCCAATGTCAGACCTGCTACTTGCAGAGTCACTGGTGCAGCTCCAGTCATTGCTGAAGAGGAGGAAACATAATAATACATAATTCGTCTCAATAAAAATTACATAATTCACCTCCCACAAGTGATCATTCGAGTCTTCAAAAACATTAACCAAAAAATTAAGTTTTTTTCCTCATAATTTTAAAATTAAAAAACGAAAAACTATAGTAAAGCTTTATTTCAAGTAATAAGTATCTGGATAATTTTGAGACAATACATCTTGAAATATTTTACATCATAATAATTAATAACATTTTATCAGCAAAAATTATTAAAAATATTTAGTAGTAACAATACATACCTAAAGTGGAGTTCTTGGCTCCAATGCTAGCTCGTTGGACAATCAACTTCTTATCTCCCAACTGCATACCATTTAATCCTGCAATCGCCTATTAAAATAATTGTTATTTAAAAAATTAAGTGGTTTAATTTAAACAAATAAAATAATTATGCAGTCAATAGTATTTACCTGATCTGTCATAGAAATATCCACATACTCAGCAAATGCATACCCCTTGCTAAGACCAGTAGAGGAGTCTTTCACCAAATTGAAAGCTCGAAGCTGTCCAAATGACATGAGAAGCTCTTTTACCTGTTTCACACAAACATAGGTTAGTCTAATATGGTATATTATAATAAAGAGTTCATATATATTATAACAAAGTTCATATATATTACAATTGTTTATTATACAAGGTGTAAGTGTAAACACCGTTGTCACTAAAACCACAGATAGTTTGGCTTTAATATAAAAATATTTATCCGAATTTAAAAAAAAAGTTATTGTCTTTCATAAAATTTAAAAAGTTTCTGTCCGACACGTAATCGTAAGTCCGACGTAATCACTGTAAAGATAACCGCCCGCGCTAGCTACCTACACAACATTCCAATAAAAACACAATAGGTACACATAACCTGTGATGTAACTTTTCCTTCATACTTTCATCCTGGCTTAGGACAGACAAAAATTGGGGAATTAAGGAAAAATTGAGATTTTACTAAAAAAAAAGTTGTTACTTTTCATTGAATTTACGTTCTATAAGTGAAACCAAACCACTGGTTTCAAGGATAACGGTGTTTACACTAACACCCTGTATATTCATTCATTTACACAACTATTACATTCTCAGACAATTTAATGTTCCCGTTAACATTTGCTTAGCAAATTGCAGCATACATATAAATTTAATGCAATCTGACCTGTGTCTAGCCGCATATTAAAATCAGATGTGAACGGAGGAGACTTGCCTTGAAGTGCCGACGTCTCGTTCAAGTACAAGACGTATAGATGAGAATGAGAGACAACAGTGACACGCGGGCCGCGTATGTGCCAAATCTATGCTAGGGAGGGGCAGAAAGCAAACTATCAGTGACTGGTTTCAAAATATTTTGAGCGTGAAACGCACACGCTCATCCGTTATGAGTACCTGAAAATACCTGAAAGGGACCAAAATATAACGCGATTCACTGCTTGCTGCACCATAGCCCTGTCAACTGTTGAATCTCGTCCTGAAAATGGCAGCGGCCTCTAGATATATTTAATGGGAACTACCTAAATCTCCTAAAATACATCATTTGTTTGATTTTGTTATATTCGTAGCCTACATTCAATAAGTCTAGAAAATATTGCATGTATTTTAGCTACATTGAATTTAACACTCTATTACATGCGCTGGGCAAAAGTATGCACCAGGCATATATTTTTGCGTATAATTACGTAAAAAATTTAATGAGAAAAGGGACGAGGTAATAACATAACTATTTGACATGTCACTGAGTTAAGAAATTTAAGCTATTTTGCTCAATAATTATGCAGTTTGTGAAATAATATTCTATCTTTTTCTAGTTTATAGTTTTGTATTTATCTTAATGTAGGTACTTATATAAATATAAATGGACTTGGACACATCATTGTAATAATGGGTTTTTGATTGGACTTGGATCTGATGAAGAAGAATGCCTCCATACAGAAGATCTCATGCACCAAGACTCCTATTCCCCTTCACCGTGGGTTACCAAGTCACAGGTCACAGTACGTAAGCTCCCCCCCCCCCCAAGGCAAAAACCTGTTGTTCAGGGAGAGCAGAACTGTATACTCACATTGCTCTTTAGCTCAGTATATTTTCGACGCTTCCCTCAAAAAAAAAAAAAAAAAAAAAAAAACAAACGAAGCATGCTGCTCTCAGGTATAAACCAAAACAATATCGTAGTTCAGGAAGAAAATGTGCCTTGAAAAAGAACTAAGATTACCAGATTTTATAATTATGAAGAGCCAACAGGTCATCAGCCTGTGTGTTATGACTAGAACTATAGCATATTATGTATTAAATGTTATAAACAAAGATTTAATGGTCTCAAAGGGTCTTCAAATGATGATTAAAATTTCATACCTCTTGACTTTAGATAGCTTTTACACTTAAATGTAAGAACATTAGTCTTGATCAAAACAAGACTAATTTTCTGTGCCTAATATAAAAAATGTCAGTAAAGACTGATTTCACATAAATATGTCCATGTTTTAATTCTACCCGATATCAAAATAAAGTAACTTATTATGGAGCACAGTAGTGCCCTGCGCATGTTATTTTGTAATTTTCACTGTATATATTTCAATGTAATTGCAATATTTTCTAGAGAAATAACAAAATTAAATTGTGTAAAAGCTTCATCACAGATGGTTGAACAAAAGGTACATCATCTGAAAAACATAATTTTTGTATTTTTATGCTGAATTTTTAAAATCATCAGTTTTGTAGTTGTAGTAAGTATTGAACATTACAAAAGTATAAAGGGTGGGTGCACCAGTAACAAACCAATATAGTGATATTTTGAAATAAATTTTGATCTTACTCATAATGTGCCATATAATCATGTAGCTTATTTCGATTTTCATAATAGCCATAATTTTTTTTATTAATGTGGTAAGTCACAATGTGCCAAAGGTGGACCAGATTATACCAGTAATAGACCAGACATTGTGCCAGTAGTGAACCAGAAAGTAAAACTAATGTTTTTAATGAAGAATAATTTTATTATTAATACTAATGGACTTAATTAAATTTTGTAATCAGTAATCACAACAACTTTAAATCAGTCTATACGTTACGTACAGTCTATATGTTAAATGCTACAAGGCTCATAATGTTGTTTTTGAGTGTCATTTTATTTATAACGGTTTTGTGGGGAATATTATACTTTAAACATAGATAAGTTAAGACGCGAAACTTTCTCTAACTTTCGCGTCTTAACTTATCACTGGTCAACAACTAGAACATTGTGAATTTTTGAAAAATTTACTATAGTAATTTCTTGAAGTATCTTAACTGAATATAAATGTAAAATAAAAAATGTATTAAAAAGCTTAATCACCAGTAGTTGAACAAATGTTATATTACTGGAAAATCATAGAATTTGTGTTCCAATGATTTACCAATGACAATAATTGAATTAAATTAGGGTTTTCTTATAATGTAAGACGTAATATTATTATTATATTTATTATATTATGCAGTTAACTCGAAAATTGGTTACAAAAATTGATATAAACAAATATTTAAAGGGATTAAAAATAAATTACCGTCATATGCTTGCTTTGTACAATGGCGGTGCAGAACTAAGTAAACAATAGTCGTTTTGGATTATGTGTTTTTTACTGATGTATATCACTTTTTGTTATGATTACATGATTGGTAGAAGTACGTTAAGGCTAGCAAATGTGAAACAAATGGTGGGAAAATCAAAAGAAGGTTAGTATTTAGGTTTAAAGATTGAAATGGTCTACTACTGGTTCCTGGTGTGGGACTGGCGCACCCACCCTAATCATACACATTACGTCCAATGATCATCATCGTATCATCATAACAGGCCTTCACAAGTACTCTGCTAAAAATAGCTGTCCCCAAGAAATTTCAAAATTATTATTTCATAAATGCATTATAATTTGAAGAATAATTACTAAAATATATAACATTGATTTTGATTTATGTCTATTTTAATATATTAAATTTCGAAACATCACATTTGTATTATAATTATTATATAAATATATAATAATAATGCACTTACTTGATCTTCATTAAGATAGTTGGGTAAACCACCAATAAATATTTTATGGGGCGAATCTGGTACAACTGTACTAATAACACCAGCTGCAATATAAATTGTGAAACATATTAGACATGGGTATGGTTGAAATATATGGATTCAATATCTGATATATGTACTGAATATCAGATATTGAATCTATATATTTCAACTAGCAGGCCAAGCAGAAATTGTTTTGCACTTTCCAACAAACCTTTGTCTTATAAAAATCCTTAAATAAGCAATAAAAATATTGTGGGGCACTTATCAGGATAAAAACTATCCTATCACTCAAGTTGGAGCAAGCAATACACATTTACAAACTTTCATTAAAATCAGTTCAGTAGTTTAGGAGTTAATCGCGGATGACCAATGTGACAGGTAATTTTTATAAGATAATATGTATCAGATGATCTCTATGTGATTTTGTAACTTGCGGAACCTATAATTTTTTTTTGATAGGACTATCGTAACCAATTGCGAAATGAGTAACTATACTAAATTTCAAGTCAATTGGGTGTATAGTATTGGAGAGACTATTTAGCCTTTATATATATACAGGGTTACAGGTTAAGTCGACCTAGATCCTTTAGGGGGTTGTAGTTCCCAACATTACTGACTGTTTCAATTATGAAACACCATACTCCAAACTTAACCATTTTCAAGATATTCAAGTATTTTTTTTTATAAAAAATGACAATTTTTTGTCTATTGTACTAATTTTTTTGTAATTTGTGCATCTTGTTTAACATACAAATCCACTGAAAATTTCTTACATCCTCAACTATAATATCACACACATTATGTATAATTATAATATTATTATGTACTTTAATCTAAAATATGTATCTGTATCATTTAAGTAATTGGCTTTGTTATATTACATAATAATACATAAACACTCACGCCTGTCACCCAGAGGGGTAGGCAGATACTACGGACTTCCATTTGGCACAATCCTGACATACCTCTTTCGCCTCCTTTACATCCATATATCTACGCATACATGCTCGTCGGTTAAGGGTACTTCTAACGTGGCCCCTTTTCAAAATATCGCCAATTTGGTCGATAAACTTTTTTCTAGGGCGTCCCTTTCCGACTCGGCCGTTCACATCTGCCATATAAATTTGCTTTGTCACTCTTTCCTCATTCATTCTTTCTACATGACCAAACCACCGAAGCATTCCTTTCTTAATCCTGGTCACAACATCATCTTGCATACCACATTTATCTCTTATCACGCAATTTCTCACCATGTCATTCAGATTCAACCCTAGCATACTCTTTAAAGACCGCATTTCTACAGCATTTATTCTACTTTCGTGCTTCTTCTGCCACACCCAGCTTTCACTACCATACATTAAAGTAGGGACTAACACAGCATTATGAATTACCATACGTGCCTTTTTTGACACATTCTGGTACTTCATAATAGAGTGTAGTGCCCCATTCACTCTATTCCCTGCATTTACTCGTCGTTCTATATCCCTATCATATCTACCATCCCTGCTAAATACACATCCCAAATACACAAACTCATCCACTTGCTCAATTAACTCTCCTTCTATTCTTATTTCACATACCGTTTTGCTTTCTTCTCTTTCAAAAACCATCACTTTCGTCTTACTTGCGTTCACTTTCATTCCCCTTCCTTTTAATTCCCAGTTCATTAATGTAACCATCATTTGCAACTCAGCCGCCGATGACGCAAATATGACTTGATCATCGGCATACAAAAGGCATTTGACGGTTAACTCGCCCATTCTTAACCCACATTCTTCATCTTTCAAAGTTTGCAAACACCTGTCCATAAATAGGTTGAACAGCCAAAGGGAAGGCACCCTGTCTGACACCCTTTCGGATGCCAAACCAGTCCGAGTAGACCCCATTGATCCTGACACAAGCACTAGAGTCCCTATAAAGAGACCTTAATGCCTGTATCAAACCAGCGCTCAACCCATATGAGTTCAGTGTTATAACACATTCCTGTCCACTCTGTCATAAGCCTTTTCCAAGTCCATGAACACACAAAAAACTTTCTGGTTTTTGGCCAAAAACTTCTCCGCAATCATGCGCATGGAAAAGACTTGATCTGTACACCCCATTCCCTTTCTAAAACCCGCTTGCACATCCCAAATTTTTCCATCAGTTTCTTTCATAACTCTTTCAATTAACACCTTAGCATACAGTTTACCCACAATACTAAGCAAGCTGATACCACGGTAGTTTTTGCAGTCCTGCTGTGACCCTTTCCCTTTATATATTGGTACTATAACTGCTTTGCACCAGTCATCCGGTACCCGTTTTAATTCCCAACATAAATTAAACAAGGTGTACAGCAGGCCTGCCACCACTCCCTCTCCAGCCCTTAGCATCTCGAGTGATACTCTATCATATCCAGCTGCCTTACCTGCTTTCATGCTTTTCATTGCTTTCATTATTTCATCTACACTTTTCTCCATAACCCTTTCCACTTCTTTCGGAATTTCTAGTTCATTTAATTCAGACGACTCTTCACTCATAAACACACTTTCAAAGTATTCCTTCCATCTGTTTAAATTCGAAACTTCATCATTCAGAATACATCCATTCTCGTCTCTTATAGCATTCATTATAGGCTGTTTTGTATTTCCCCTGGCAGTTCCCACGAGTTTCCAAAACATTTTTATGTTATCCTGGAAATTATCAGATATCCTTCTATCATTCTTATCCGTTCTTTCTTTCTTTTTCCTTTCAACAAATTCTTTTACTCTCTTATTTAGACGTCTAAATTCTTTTTTCTTTCAATCTCATCATTCATACCAGAAGAATTACCAGCTTTGGTTGCTAGTAAATCTAACCATGCTTTCTTCTTTGATTCAACTTCCACCCGTACCTCATCATCCCACTACAACGTATTACTTTTCCTTTCATTTGTTCTCTTACTTACACCACATACTTCAGTGACGGCATCCACCAAACCTTTCTTAATATTGTCCCACAGAGTATTCAAGTCTAAATCATTCATACACAACTCATTCAAACATCTAATACTTCCTCTCAGTCTACATTTATACTTCTCTTTTCCACACATACGGTGAGGAGGTCTTCACCATTCCCATTTATACTTTCACCACCAAACGTTCCCAATATCCTTTCATAACCAGACCTCTTCACCCCAACCCTTCCATTAAAGGCTCCTAACATAATAATATTTTCATTTTCCTTACATTTTGTCAACACCATCCTTACCATGTCCCAAACCTGCTCTCTCTGTTTCTCTGTTTGTTATATTAATCCTCAATATTACTAAATGTCGATTTTATCATAACCAATTAAATGAAAGTAATGATGTCTTCAATATTCTATACAAATGTGTAATTCAAAGATATACAATCCATGAGGAGGGTCCTGATGACCTATAGAACAGGTATTGTTTAATACCTTTATTAGGCACCAGTCTCTCACAAACTAGGGTTCAATAAGTTTACAGTTTAACATGTTTGTCATCAATAAGTCTGTACCAGTTTGTTATGAGAACATAAATATAGTTTCCATTCTAATCTACTCTTATAATTTTTGTGTAGTAGATAAGTTGCTTTATTATTTTAAACGCCAAAATCTTAGGTAATAATTACCCATGTACAAATTAGGAAAACACACAAATTAATGATGCTAAAGGTGAACACAATCCCTATCTTTTGCTAAATAAAAATTGTTATCCTATTTACAGTTAGTACCTAAACAGTAGCATGCAAATAAAGCTTTATTATTGTTGAAGCACAAATGGGTCGCCTCGACTATGGAAGGACCACACTCTCACAGAATACCAGAATAAAATAGCAGCTTAATACTGCTGTTTCATATGGTGAATGTAGTGATCCGGAGACCCTGTTTTACTGGAAACGAGGCATACCATCTTAGTCCTCAGGGGTGACATCGCATCTGCATTTTGATTGTTAATCGAGGATAAATGTAGATGTCTATGGGCCACACCATCCACTTATCATCAGGTGGACTGTGTGCTCGTTTGTCGCCCTTATTCTATATGTAAAAAAAACAATCTGGGTCACAGTAGACAACTGATAGTTGAAAATAGAAATAAATTTGTACAAAGTATTTTTTCTTAGAGGATTATTAAAAAAAATCTACACATTTCAGAGTATAAAAAAAAAAAAATATATATATATATATATATATATATATACACGCTCTGAAATGAGTATATCCTACAATAAAGAACTGTAGCAAATAAATCATTGTTCATAGTTGTGCAAAGTTCAAACCAGTTTATCATATTTCACAAATATCTTTTAATATTATATCTTTGATTTTGATGTCAGAAGTTCTCAGAGTACATAAATAACTATGGCACATTCGATAAAACAGGGTTATAACTTGAAAAAGTCGAATTTTGATTTAAAGATACAGAAACAATAATTTTATTAACTTTCTTCTCCAAAATGGTTACATCTGTAACTCTAAAACTCACCGCTAGAAGGAGTTGTAACGCTACATGACTTTAGCATTTTGACTCCAGAATGATCGCTATTAGTGTTACATTTAGTATTATGAAAGGTGGACTTGCGTTTGTTGAGACAAGAAGTGTTACAAATCAAAATATTACAGTATTTTAGAGGAGTAAAATCTTTTTGCTTACATCAATTAGTCTGTTGAACGGTTACAAGTTGAATTATTACAATTTATTATTAAAGGAATTAATCAAATTAATTCAATATTTCCATAAAAAAGTGATATGTTTTGTATTGTATCAGTATTTTGGATAGGATTTCATGTAATATTATTTTACCTTTTCACATTGCAACAGTATTTGAGGAAAAATGTATATTTTTTGTCTGAATATTTCGATTTGTAACCGTTTTATTTTAGGTATTTTCGAAATATTTTCCGTGAATCTGATTTATGATTCTAGAGCGTAGTGGGGGGGGGGGGGGCGGAATTAACAAGGTAAGATGTCCACTATCTTACATTATCTACCTGTTTTTACCAGGTTATTTTTGTCACTCTAAAAGTAAGTATCATACGATATTTTGTTATAATGATCTAATTAAAGTACTTAACTTTATGTAAAGTACTCAACTGAATTTCATCATACATGTTTAATATTTTTTTCAGAATCAACAGAAAAATTGAATTTTGATGTCATTGACAAACTATCGGGAACTGGGAAAATTGGTTTTGATTAGAGATGCGCTGAGTAGCACTTTTGCTGAGTAATGAGTACCGAGGTTTACTTGGTATTTTTTTTTCCAACCGAGTACTTGGCAGAGTAACTCGGTTCAATCAAATTCCTGTTTCCAGCGCGTAAACAATTACAAACAATAGAGTGCGATGACCCTAAAAAGCCCTATTGCTTTAGAATCAGATAGCTATTTAAAATAAAATTTGTTGGCAAAAGACAAGAGTCTTTTCGAGTGGTGAGGAGGGCAACAAACATGGTATCCAGAGCGGGCACATTTAGCATTAGTGTTTCTATGTGCACCTGCAAGCACCGTGTATAGCGAGCAATTATTTTCGGAGGCTAGTAACGCCTACGAAGAAAAAAGGAATAGGCTGTTTCCAGAACGTGCAGAGAGCCTTGTCTTCCTGCATTATAATTTACCTTTATTAAATTTTAAATATCGATATTCATTATAATTGAGATTGTCAAAGATTTCCCAAATACTTCCTACTTTACTAAATTAAATTTTAAATATCGATATTCATAATAGAGTTATTCGGCCGAGTACAAGTATTAAAAAACCCACGAGTAGCGAGTATTAACCGAGTACTCGGCCCATCTCTAGTTTTGATATACCACTGTTCCTGAAGCAGAAAGCAAAAATGTTTTTAATTTATTTTATTATGCAATAAGGGCAATGATGGCTTCAATTTTGATATCTGAAATGTGCTAATTTAATTGTTTTATACTAAGAATAATTCCAGCGAAAACTCTGCGGAAGTTGAGACACTGTTTTTACAAGTGAACATTTCAATAGCTATCTCATTGAAAAAGTTAATTCGATTTCCTAGACAATCATCAGGCTCATGTTGCGTATTTTTATTGTGATATGATTTTGCATTTACGGATTAACAATAAGTAATCCTACCACTAACAATACTGAGGTAATACCATCTACAAGTTCAAAAGAAGTTAGAGATCAGAGTTCCAAGCAAATTGGAAGCCTACTGATGACTCATCAACCAATTTTTCTTCAGATACAGAAAGTACAGGTTCCTCAGACTCTTTCAGTTCAATTTTAATTGATTTTGAAATTAAGCAACATTGTTCCACTGTAATTTATAACAATTTCGAAACTGAAGGCAACATTGAAAACCAAGCTAACTTTGAAGCTATATCCTCACAGCTCACAGCTATTATCCTCAGGGCCAGCTGTTGATGTACTTATATGTCTTCCAATATTAGACTTACACCCAAATGACACACCAATACTGGACACGAAAATACGAAGCAGAAAACATGTAGCTAAACCGATAGAATGGTTACAAAATCAATGCAAAATTCTTAGAAATGCAGGATCTGCTTACGTAACACTAAATGAATAGGTGCAGAAGGATGCTAGAAAAATTAGGCTCCTTTATAGTGAAAATTTTCAGAAGCAGATAGAGAAACGGTTTAATAATTCTGGTAAATTAAATATATGAATTGCCGAAGAGATTTTATCGGAAGGCATATGGCGCCAATAAAATTAAAATATAGATGCACTACTACTTAAAAGGAAATTAATTAAATCATACATTTTACTTGACCAAAATGAGATATCAAATCCAAATTTGCAAGACATTCTTCATGAATACAATATACATTGATAATAGAGTAACACAGACAGTAGTCAAGAAGAGAACATCTGCTGGTTCAGTTGAAGAAGGCAAGAGAAGCAACCATCACAGTCATCATAAGCTGATTAAAAATAATCATATTCCACAGTTCTATGCACCTTTTTATAACCAATTGTAATTGAATAAATATGAGTATTTTTTTTAAATAATTATGCACCCTAATCACAACATGGTCACAATATCTCTGCACCTCGCTCGATGACAACTAGTACTGAAACTTAAATTTCAAGTGATTTTGATTTTTATGGTGATGATTATAGTTCCTAAATAGTATTTAAATATCATTATGGAGAATATTATTTAACCGTAACTTAATTAAGTCCTACCTAAACTTGATATTGTAAAGTGATTTGTTGAAATTGTGTTAACAAGAATTGTTTAAATTTTTTTGTTAGATTGATTTTTTCCCAAGTTTACAACTATATAAATACTTATTAAGTTGTAAAATGTTTGAAGAACTGCCTGATTTTTATTATAATAAGAATTTCTATATTTGTTATTTCGTATTTTTGTTAGTAGAAGTTCAAATAGCTATTTAAAATACCATTACAATTGGCAATTTTCAGGTTTTCAGGCAGGTTTTTACAGGAAATTTGATAAACAGCTTATGTAACTTAAACCTATTTTGGTTCAGGATATTATTAGCGTCTATTAATTAAATTCATACCTAATTTATTATTTCATGTTATAGATCTTACAGTATTTATTTTATATATATTTATATTACTTGCAAAAAACAACCACCACAGATCCAAGGAAATGTCCAAACAAAAAAACAACAACAATAAAAAATTAAAAACCCAAACATAACAAAAACTCAACAAAAATTAACAAATGACTCCTAAACGCAAACTCAAGAATTATTTCGAAATGCAAACACAAGGACACATGCAGCAGTAACAGGTATGCTAACGCTACTGTTGTTAAACTTACACAAAATTCTGTATGCTATCCAGTTTCCACAGTAATATTGCATGTAATGTAATGAGGTATTATTATAATCGGGGACAAAACCTCTACCAAATAAAACAACTTACTCCCCCAAATTCCTGCCAAACGATTCTAAATACAACCCCATATTTTTGTAAGATTTTCAATTATATACAATTTGTATCACATAATACTAATACTACAAGAATAAAGACTATAACAAATCCATGAGTTGTAACCCTATTTTATCGTAGGTGCAGTATGTTGTTCTGTCAGTGACACTGTACTACAGCAGTATCTAATACTTAGTTAATACATCACCCGACATATAGATGTTGGACATGGAAACAATATATAGATATTGTATCTATATATGATTTCTAAAGCCCATTCCTAAATCATATAGCATAATTAATTTTTATGCTAAATGTATATATATTAATTAGGTAAATCATTTCATCTAAATTAGGAAATCAAAATTCAAATATACATACCCGGAACATTTATGGCTGGGTTTTCTGTACCAGGCATAGGTTGATAATCGTGGGGTCGTCGAATTTTCAAACTCTGACCCTTGAAATTAATCCCATCAAAAGCCATAGCTTGGGTAGTCTCATCAATAGATCTAAATTCAAGGAATGCAAAATTTTTGTCCAAATTAATTTGACAAGCTAAAACAGGATTGCCAGCTGCTTGAGCCAATCCTGAAAGGTGCATCTGTTGGTTGAAAAATTCCATTGTTTCCTCCTCTGTAACTCCAAATGGTATATTGCCGACATATAATCTTCGTGCTTGTCGCGTTATAGTTGATCCAACTACAGGGACAGCTGCTTGAGGAGTATCAGCAACGATGTTTGCTGGAATTTGTCCGGCAGCCTGCATGGCTTTGTACTGCAGAGGCGTAATGTGTTCAAAACCAGGTGGTGGTACATCCCAGTACAATGAGGGCTTGCGGCGACGCGATCTTTTAGAGGGAGATCTGGACTTACTTCTTCTTTTCTCTCTTCGATCTCTTGAACGGGATCTTGTTCTTCGTCTTTCTCTTGAACGAGACCTGCGTCGTCTATCTATAACATGAAAATTTTTTACACAATAAAGCTTAGTTCCTAATAATAAAGAAACAAGAAATGCATTAAGTTAAATACCCTTATCTTCGCCCATGATTTAAGAAAATGAAAGTAATAACAGAAAATTTGATAGACGGTTCAAAACTTCGGCCAAGTCGCAAAGAAAACAACACAGAATTCACAAAATGGCGTCACTCATTAACTCCATAGACAAAATGCTTCCTAGATACATAGATAAAGCAAGCACAAAAAATGCTTTGCCATAGATTATCGCATATATACTATAACTCATGAAGTTACTATAATTATAGAAATAAATGCGCGACACTGACCTCTATATATCCTCTTCAGACCCCCGGTACACATACGTGTACCTTAGAATTTTTAAATAAAACTAGTGATTCCATCTTGTGACGAGTAGCTGTACTTTTATCGCCTTACTAAAAGACTGTATTACCCTAAAATTACAATAGATAGCAGATCCTGTCGAAATAGGTTTATGAAAAATCTTATTCAAATTCAAAGTTGGCTGATTTTTTTTCGTGTCACCCGCGAGGAAACTTACAAAATCAGGTAAAAATATTAACCGTTGTTTTAAATCATTTGTTTTTACGATTATTGGTGCACAATTAGTAGTAGTTTACACAGCGAATAATGGATTTCCGAAATCAATAAATTTTGTAGTTAATTTAAGTCAATTATTTTTGAGTACACATACGTGCACCTCAGGTCTAGACCATTATTTTATTGTTAGTATGAATAAATTGAGATATATTTTTATTGGCTATAGATCATGGATGCTAAAGCAATCGAAGAAGCACTTAACAACAGCGACTTGGACTACTCTGGAGATGAAGATGGCGATGAGTTCTTGCCGCCAGAAGCTGTACCACCTGAAGTATCGGAGTCGGAATGGGACTCGGAACCAGAACAGGGTAACATAGTTGAGATGCAGCAAAATGTGCCTGGTGGATTCTGGCGGACTAAACAAATGGATCTTCTTAGACCAGACATTACTGATGATGTGCTCTTGTCACAAGGTACCTCATCTACGAGCTGCTTATATTCATTTTTGGAGTACCTAGATCTAGATTTCTGGAAATTAGTCGCTGAACAGACGAATTTATATTCTGCGCAAAACAGAAATTTAAAATCAGTGGCAACTGATTATATTGAAATAATACGTTTTGCTGGGTTGCAAATTCTCATGGGCAGGTTAAAATACCCACAAGGTAGACTGTACTGGAGCAAAGACCTGTGCGTACCATTGATCCAAGACACTATGACAAGAGATCGGTTTTTTTAATTGCGAAATCATCTACATTTTGTAGATAATTCTGAGAGACGAGATAATGATGATAGACTCTGGAACATACGGCCAATAATTAGTAGAATTCAGGAAAAATGTCAAAGCTTACCTCGATCCAATTATATTTCAATAGATGAACAAATGATTTCGTTTTCTGGAAGGTGTGAATACCGCCAGTACGTACCCTCAAAGCCAAATCCTCTTGGCTTGAAAAACTTTGTATTAGCGGCCAAACATGGCCTCGTTCTGGATTTTGAGATATATGTGGGATCAAATACAATACCCCGCCAGGGTATGGAACAATTAGGACTTGGAGCAGGCATAGTGAAGCCGTTGTGTTGCACTGTTCCCAAAAACTGTGTCTTATATACCGACCGTTTTTTCACAAGTATAAAACTAGCGGACTATCTAAATAAAAATAAAAAGAATGTATATCTGACTGGGACGGTGATGAACAATCGATTTGGGCCAGTTGCTAAAAAATTAAAGAATGACAAACAATTGAAGAGAGGAGAATGGGACGAGAAGGTGAGAAATGATGAGCAAGTTACTGTAGTGAAATGGAAGGATACCAAAGCTGTCACCATGCTGTCTACGTGCGTAGGTGCTACTCCAGTAGGCTGCTGCAACAGATGGTTGAAAGCACAGAAAAAGAAAATTGAAGTGCCACAACCAGCTGTAGTAAAAAATTATAATACCTGCATGGGTGGCATCGATTTATGCGATCGGTTGATAGCATATTATCGCAGCGCCATGCGAACCAAAAGTGGCCAGTGCGTGCATTTAGCCATTTCGTAGATCTGGTCATTGTCAACTGCTGGATCATGTACACGAGATGCTGCCAGCAGGAGGGAATTGCAGCAAAAGACAAGCTGGGCCTGCTTCAGTACAAGCTGAATCTAGCTACAGGATTAGCAAGATACGATGGTGGCTGGATAAACCCAATTTACTTGCGAAGCAGCAGCCGTAGCGTTGAAAATGAAATGGAAGCCAGTCCACCTAAATCAAGGGTCGAAGATGAACCGCCAAAAAAACATAGAGCGGTTGTGACACATCCGCCTCCTGATGTAAGGTTGGACGGGGTAGGGCATTTGCCCCGACACCTGGATGACAAGTTCGCATCAAAATGCCGCCATAGCCAATGCTCATCCCGTTGTCGCACTATATGTATAAAATGTAACGTATATTTATGTATTTTAAAAAATAACTGTTTCCAGTTATATCATACAAATAAGTGATATTTTTATTAAGACAGTCCTCAGGTGCACATATGTGCACCCATGATATTTATTTTTTTTAAACCAAATAAAAAGAAATTTTGTAATATATGTTTTGTTTGCTCCCTATGAACCTGGAAAAATAATCAAAAGTCATTTAATCCACTTCCTTTCTATCTGGGTCTGAAGAGGATATACAAGTACGTTGGACTGGCTATAATATAAGCGGCTTTTCGCCGCTTGCGCCCTCTTTTCTGCCAAGGAGGATCGCGTTCGTATACGGCTTAGAGATCGATAAAGGTGGGGTTTAGTGCGTAAAAGTCTCCACATAACGACGCAGCCGGCTGCGTGGTATGCTATGAGCATTCCCCACCTCCCTCCCCCGTTTTATTAGTTCCATGGACGTGCACTTTTGGTGCACTTCCATGGAACTAATAATAGGGATAAGACAGTGTGACAAATTATATATCGATAAATATTCTATACCCTACCTATACCTAAATAAATAGAATGGACGCTATGGATAGATATACTCTACTCGTAACGTCCATCGTCCATTATATTTATTTATCATATTAATATAACACCACTATCATTCATCATCATTAAAGCTCTTCACAAGTCCACTGCTGAACATAGGCTTCCCCCAAGGAATGCCACAAAGCACGATCCTGAGCCACCTGCATCCATCAACTTCCTGCGTGTCTTACCAGGTTTTCACTCCATCTAGTGGGGGAACTTCCGACACTTCACCTGCCGGTACGAGGCTGCTACTCGAGAATCTTATTTCCTCATCGGTTATCGGTTCTTCGAGCTATATGGCCGGTCAATTGCCACCTCAGCGGCGATTTCGGTCACTCTGGTTATACTGCCGATATCTTCATTCCTAAGTTTATCCTCCTAAGATTTCCAGCTTCGGCAGTGCCACGTATTCGAGGGGGCTTGACATATCGCAATCCATGGGGTCTTGATCGAACACTTAATTGCCTTTGTTGGTGGATGTTGCGGAAGAGGAAGCTGCTAAAAATCGTGAATGTAAACGATGGTCAGAATTTGTAAATAAGAAATAAACTAAAGTAGGGCCACTACGAAGTTAAAGCACAAATTAAATCTTGAGACTCGAGAGAGAATTAAATCTCTAGACTCGCAATTACTAAAACTCTACGGTGTTCTACCTCTGTCGCAAATTGTCATGGCCACGGAAACGCTTTACGCACATCCGCGGTCCCTCCGGTGCCAGCCACGCAATGGCAGCTCCTCCTTAGTTGCTGAATTCTCCCCCCCCCCGTTTTTCTTCCCAGATAAGGCGCATCACAAACATAAGGCACACTGCCCTGCGTGGCCTCTGACTCCACCTGCACTTCGAACTCCCCGAGCCCAATATGTTAATGGAGCCAGGAAAAAAACGAGCACTTGGAAGCATCAAGTGGTGCAGCCTCACCAACGTCGCGAAGGATAGTCGAGTGGCATCGCATCGCCAATCGCCTTACCAACACTCCTCTTCCCTGACGACTCCACCTCGGCTATAGAGGTACAGGGAGAGAAATCTCCTCTAGCCGCAGCCTACTAACATACATCCAACGTGGCCCGAAATCATCAAGCGACCTTTCGACACTTGGCTATGGCCCTTGAGTTTGAGGGAAAATGAAGAAAGAAGAAATAAAAAACATTCGGAACAATCTAATACTTTTATACTTACTGGTACTGGTACTACCAGAAAATATTGTCGTAATACTGCACTTTTTCAAAGTGGTGCAGTCCTCATGTCTAATAAAACAGTCGTCTGTGATATGATCATTTTGTTACAGACGCCAATCCACAATACTTATGCTTTTAAGCCATAATTTTAGTCTAGGTTCAGCCGGAAACCTGTTAATTAATAAACATTTGATAATCATCTGTTGTTGGCGTCTTTGTTTGTTAACAGATATGGGTAGGAAAGAACATCGATAAGTATTATAGACAAGGAACTCGACAACACTATTGAATTTTACTGTTTATCAAAACTCGGTAATATACAGCCAAACATGTTGGTAATTATGATATTAAGATTAGTAACAATATATATTATCAAATAGTTTTAATTTGTTTAATATTAGCTACAAATTCACTGACTTGTGGAATGCTACACCACTTCCCTTTTGGTAACGAGTTTTACATATTACGTATACTCTCATTATTACTAAAAATAATTCTTATTATGTAACTAAAATCATACACAATCAGACAACAAAAAATACTTTCGTTTTTTAGTTTAAAAGTTCGAAATACGGATTTTTTTAATTAAAGCAATTTAATTAAGACAACAGACTTTGGCATAATATGTCAATTTTAGTTTCCAAGACGACCGTTAGGGGTGCTTCAAATTGGCACAGACATTTTGTATGGTAAAGCCAGTCCAGTGTACTTGTATAAGGGATCTATCAGACAGAAGACGTTCGGGCGTTCGAGCGTTCCGCGTTCGCGTTCTGTATTCTTTGTGTTGTATTACGTTACATAGACATACCCTCAGACAGCAGGCATTCTGACCGCGTTGGTCAACCAGAACGTAGGCGTTCGTGATTGGTGAGCAACTGAAAGATCGACCGCAAAACGCGAACGCGGAACGCTTGAACGCGTGACCGCTTCCTGTCTGATAGAACCCTAATATATATTATAGAGGTCAGTAGTCTTTCAGAACTCAATCTGACGTTTCGTTACGAATAAAATATTTTATTATATTGAAGTTTTCAGAATTGGTTTACACCAAAACATCGAAAGTGTGTTTGAGACATTTTGATCCTAATTGTTTTGCTTAAAAAAAGACTAAATTAATTCATTGGAAGTGATTATTCATCAATCATCAATTTTGGATGAAAGAATTCATCATGCATATTAAAAAAGGTTGGCTATAGATATCCGGTGCTAGATTTTAATTACGTTTTCAGTTTAGGTGGCTTGTCAGGGTTAGTCTCGAAACTTTTACACAGTTTTTGGATTTCGGAAATGCCTTTTGAATTAATTACGATAAAAAAAATCAGTAAAGACTGCCGAGGGAGGGGTTAAAATACTATCCGACTCGCCCTGGTCTCGTTTACGCACCGTTTGCGACTGGACTCCCTCCAGCCACGCATCCATCGGCACGGTACGCTTGACACATTGGATTGGGTTAGGATAGGAAAAAGGATTGGAATAAAAGAAAAGAAAAAGAAAAGAAACAAAGTCGCCAACAACAGTTAGTTATCAAAGTTTTATTAATTAACGAATTTACAATTGAAACAAAATAATCAACTCTGTTCTAAACATTTCACAGTGATTGTTTTATTAGACATGAGAAAAGCACCACTTTGAAAAAGTGCAGTATACCGACAATATTTTCTGGTAGTATCAGTACCAGTAAGTATAAAAGTATTAGATTATTATTTTGAATGTTTTTTTATTTCTACTCTTCTTATTTTCATCCAAACTCAAAGCCATAGCCATGTGTAGAAAGGTCGCCTGAATATGTCGAGCCAGGTTGGATGTATAGGCTGTGGCTAGAGGAGGTTTTGCGACTTTGGTAAGGCTGCACCACTTGATGCTTCCAAGTGCTCGTTTTTTTCTGGCTCCATTAACATATCGAAATCAGAGGGTCCGCAGTGGAGGTGAAGTTAGAGGCCGCGAAGGGCAGTGTGCCTTGTGTTTCTGGTGCGTCTTATCTGAGAAAAAAAGCAGGGAGGAAAAGTCGGCAACTAAAGAGGGGCTGCCATTAGACGGCTGGCGCTGGTGGGGCCACGGATATGCATAAAAGTGTTTCTGTGGCCCTGCCAATTTGCGACGGATGTAGAACACTATGGTGGTTTAATACACATTTAGTAAGTGCGAGTCTAGAGATTTAACTCTCTTTCGAGTCTCGAGTTGTAATTAGTGCTTTAACTTCGTAGTGGCCCTTACTTTGTGTAGTAGTACGTTAGATTTTTTCTTATTTCTTCAATTCTGGCCATCGTTTACATTCATGGTATTTGGCAGCTTTGTCTTGCGTAACATCCACCGATAAAGGCAATCAAGTATTCGATCAAGAACCTATGGATTACGATATTGCAAGCCCTCCGAAATACGTTGCACTGCTGATGCTGGAAAGCTTAGGAGCTAGTGCAATATGCATCGATAAAGGTGATCCGATTAAAAGCCAGCATAACTTGTTTAAGAAATGTAATTCCTTGAGTTATACAATACTAGAGGAGCAAACCACATTACCACGCGTCGAAAAAAATGTAACCACTATCCAACCGCGACGATGTAGCTCTGAAATTACTAAACATTTTAAATAAAGATAACTAAATCAATAAATAAATCTGTCTTACTTACACAAGTTGCAAAAACAATACAGTCGCTAAGATTAAAGAAAGATAGACATACAAACGTGCAATGGAGGGTTGGTGTGGCTTACTATATGAAATTTTATTCAAAATACCCAATAAATATAAGTTTTTTTTAAGCTGCCGTTAATTGTTTTTATTTTCAAATAGTTTATTTTCTTATCAAATGAATAGAAGTAAGCATAACTGATGAAATAAAATATATATTTTATAAGTATTTTTTACTGTACTAATAAATCAAACGATATAAAATAGGGAATATAAATTATAATTAATATAACATGTATATAAAATTATAATTAATATAAATTATTAATATAAAATAAGTAATAAAATAGATTTAAAAGTTAATTCATGTATAAACTAAAATAACATTAATTAATTATTTTGTATGAAAATTAAAACATAGTTTTTATTATAATTTACAAAATTTTTAAAATCAGAAGTAACATGTTATTAATATAGTCTCCATTAATTATTTAGTCTCCCATTAATGTGGAATAATCACAAAGGCGGAAAAGTGGCAACATTGTATCTAAATCGCTATATTCGATAATTTTATTTGAGGTTTTTACGTTTATGAATGAATGAATGAATGAATGAATGAACATACTTTATTGTACACCACAAACAAATTTACAAAGAACATCACAAAGAGCAGATTAAATGTAATTCTAATAAAGGAATAAAACCGTGAATACTAGGTAGATGGTGCAATAAAAATATACCTAATATAATATCAATACGTGCAATAAAATAACATGTAAATAACTAATTCATTAAAAAAATATGATGCACATATACATACGTATACAGATAAACACACACACACATAAACACGTATATATATATATACCCTCAAATATATTCCTCAAACAATGACCTAAACTACTAAATACAAAAACTACATAATCACATAATTTATCTCCTAATGATGTTCGGACGATTGAGACAAGTAATGCTAAGCATAGCCCGCCTGTCCTTGAAAATTGTAGAATATGTAGCGGCGCTGACGTCGGTGAGTAGTGACTGCGAAGTTAGCTGTTTATGATGTACTCATAAACAGCTAACTTCTAACAGTAACAGTAGATGTAGTTAGTTGAATAATGTACAAATTTTCATTTCATTTTTAATGAGAAAATTTTCATGCTCCGTAATTTTGTAATTTTTGACAAAAAGAAACATTAAAAAACGTAGAAATATTTTATTGTGCGTGGATGTGCAAGTGGTTTAGCATCTGATTGGAAAAATAGACTGAAAATGACTTTTGTTGACTGAACTTAGTGGTCGCAGCGCCTCACTTATGGGGTCCATAAGTGAGGCGCTGCGACAGCGACAGCGCTGCGCTGTTGACAGCACGCTTTCAGGTATACAATCGTAGACAGAGAAACTTTCTTCAAGTTCAATTTCAGAGTGATTCCACCGTTTCGTCCGAAACGGGGCAATTTCGTGGAATATTTATTTTGTTTGCGGTTTTGAAAAAAATACGTATTAAATTATTCGTATAAGTTGTAGATACAGGTTATTGTGAAAGGTGTTCTTGAAAACCATTTCCTTTTCAAGAAAATTGATGGAGTGTAATGAGAGCGTGGAAGGTAATGAAATATAGTGAGAGTGTAATGATTAACTTTAGAGGGTAATGAAATGTTATGAGAGTGTAATGATTTAGTTTGGGAAGGTAATGAAAAGGAGTAAATTTTTTATAAATGTTATGTTTATCATTGACAAAAAGTATGTAATTTATCTGTGGTGTGTTTAATTAGGGAGTTAGGTAACAGTCAATAAATGAAAATCGTGAAATCAATAGAATTTTTAATAAATGTTAGAAAATTTGAAAAAAAAAATAACAAAGTATGACAAAGATACTGTAAAATAATATCAAAGTATGAGCCTAAGATCCTTGTGAGAATGAGAATAACAACAAATTAAACATAGGTTCAATGTTATAAATAAAAATGTAGACTGGAACATACAAAACACGAAAACTCTGTTTTCATAAAAATCTGATAAAATATAGTATCAAAAAATTAAATCGCTTGTTTTTCTTTAAATCACATAGGCAATTTACTCTTTATTAATCATATAAGTTACATTATGTCTAATCAGTCTACTTGAAATTAAGGTTTGGTAACTTTTTAAAAGTAAATTCACCTCTTCTAGATTCTTCTGGTTCTCCCAAGTGCTGTAGAATACGAGATTCAGACACAATATCATCGTCGCAAATTGTTGGCCAATGGATCTTTACCGACTTTCCATGCCCTTTCCTTAAAAATAATATTTTATATGCAAGTGTGCTACTCATCGATGATTTTACCAACGAAATACTGTGAGTTCTTCTTCATTTTATATTCAACGACCACCCATTGGTCTAAGTCATATTTTAATTCAATTACTTCGACGTTTTCTTTGGTTTCGATGTCGTAGTCCATTCTCATAGATGTATTCTGATCACGACCGAAATCAGATTTGATTATTAGCTCCTCAATATCATCCTCGAAATCTTGAAGAACTGGATGTTGAATTAACTCCTTAAATTCTGTTTGCTTAATGGAACTAAATCCTTGAATGTTAAAATTGTGGTACTTTACTGGAATGTTGGATAAAATTTTTACTTTCGATTTATTGTTTATATTTATTTCCGGGGTAGAAGTTTCTGATAATAAATCGAATTGCCTCAAATCTCCGATATTGTTAAATATGGTTGGCGAATCGATGTTGATTGGGCTGTTAACGTCTGAAGGATCATATGTTCCACTTCCACCATTAGTTCCATCAGTCAAGGACTTCATTACATTTACAACGTTATAGTTATTATAACTAGACATTTATTGTGCAGTTGCTTCTTGATAAAGTCCCATATTTAGTACTCCGAGATGTTTTCTATGTTTACATGGTATGTAAATATCTCGACAATCAAAACAACTGAGGCTTCTAAAAGTAATGTTCAAGGGCAAAGATGAAGACCAAAGAGTTCGGTGGACTTTGATTGTCCCTTTAAATGCAGGAATGTTTTTGGGAAATTCTTTTTCCGTTATCTCTTCCTCTGCGATAACAATGAGCTTAACATTTGCAATGTTTTGCTGAACAACTTGCACAAAGTCTTCAAATGAGCCTACATCGCCACCGAGTCTGAGGTAGTTGTCAGCTGTTCTTTTTGCGACAGCACCAATGCCATCTGGGGCCCCCTTGCCATGCCCTGCTTCTTGATAATTCCATTTTATTATCTTTAGGTTTGAAATTTGATCTTTCAATTTCGACATCATGTAAAAAATGAATCGGTTGCGGTATTGACTCGAGGGAGAGTCCGATGAGAAATGAATTTTTGTAAGATGTGGCACTAAATCTTGAACCATCGTGTCTGATATTTTTTGACATGGTGCAGAATGACTTACAGGTTTTTTCTTTAGTTTGACTGTTTAAATAATATAATACTCCGGTGTGAAGTGAAATTTGTTGACGACTACCGCCGAAGTGAAAACTTTGGATTTCTTCATTATATTTCAACAAATAGTTTTCACTAAAATCCACAGGGCATAATACTTCATTAACAGTTATACTCTCTTTTAAACAAGTTTTATTAGCTGAGTATTGCATATTAATATTTAAATTATGTTTGAAAAAGTCCATTACTAAATTTTCGAACTTCTGAATAACATTACGAGGCGCATCTTCTTTTTTCTTTTTTATAGTTACTCTTTTAGTGTTTTCCTTTCCATCTTTTCCTCGATAACTTTGTTTCTCAAAAATCCATTCATGGTAAATAATATTTTCACTGTTGTCAAATTCCTGGTATCTCGTAACTTTATTTTTACATCTATGACACCTTCTCTCCAAACATTCTCTGTCATATATATCACAGCAAATATTTTGAAGAACTTCAGTAGCCGAACTCTCTGCAATAATATCGACTTTTTTTAAAGACTTTGTTAGAAGTTCCATATTGGCATGTCGCTTGCACTGGCATGTGTCTCTTTTTCCTGAAGGGTGAACTATCCAAAATGGCCTATATTTACAAAATACTGAATAGGAAATTCGGTCCCACTTCTCGCATTATTTAGTATATAAGTTTTTTATGTTATCAGTCAGATAATGTTTTTGTTTTTTGATGCCACTGCGTTTAATATTTTTTTTCCAGCAGCTACTTGACTGTTTACATCTTCTTGGAGAAAATTTTGTACTCTTCGTTTTATCTCAGCCGTTTTCTTTTGTAGCACTTGTTTTTAGATAATTTCTTTTTTAAAGCAAAATTAACCTTCGACAGTACACCATACTTTTTTAGCTTCGCATCGTCAACAATATCTTCAGCAAAAGATCTTTTGTATTTTTAGAAAGAATATTATATTTGTCAGATACTCCTCGATTAATGGTTTCGTTGAACAGAAGTTTCTTTTTTACGTTCTCTATGTTATCAGCCTTTTTGTCTTTAATTACTTGATCTACTTTTTTCATCTATTGTATCTGCAATATTATTTCTTACTCTCTGCATTTCTCGCTCTTTTTTTATTTGTTTCTTCAGCATATCCTTATCTCTCTTTAGTTTATTTATTTCTTTCTTTAAATTAGAAATTACTTTCATTGATCTATATCGCAGTTTTCTTGTAGCACTTGAATTTGATTGGATCGATTGTGTTGTTTTGCTATTGACTGTCTTTGGTGTTTTTTCTATTTCCATCAAAGGATCGGGATCTGCTATATTCACAATTTCTTCATTTTCGCTTGTGGGTGGTGAGTTTTCCAGTAAAACACGTTCTATCTTCTTTTGTTCCTTTAATTTATTCAAATATTTTCTTGAGTTTTTTCGCCATCTTCACCTTTGCTCCCTTTTTTGTCTGTCAGTCATTTCTGCTATGCTGAGAATCTTTTTCTTTTCTTTTCTTAAAAGGTACTTCTTTCTTTCTTTCTCCTTTTCAAGTCTGTATTTTTCAGGATCTTTTTTTGATTTCTGCATATTTTTCCTTCTTTCGTAGACTGTCTTTGGCAAATTTTTCTTGTGCTGTTGCTTTTTTCTGCGGCTTCACCATAATTGTATAGTTACCTACAAGAAGGTTTACAAACGTATTAAAATACACATTAAATACGTAACACATCTGAAACAAAAAATTAAAAAGCGTCAATCAAATGGAGCCTGTAAATTGTATTGTTTTGTCAATTTAGGAGTCGGTTTAGACCACGGCCTACTGTTCATACACATTTTATAATTATTTACATGAGGCAAGTAAAAAATTTGCATAATTTATGACTTGCATTGGTTATCTTTAGCTTTCAACAAAAAAAAACATTCCCTTCCAAAACGTTTCATTCCCCTCCGTATAAAAAATAGTGGGAACGGAATGTAATGAAATTAAACGGAATGATTTTTTTTGCAGATTTTTATAATTTACGTAGAATTTAATAGTACATTGACCCTAATAACTATACAGTGACATAACCTAACTAAAGTCTATAATGTAATGGTAAATTATATTTTTCATCTCAAGCGGTTACTTTATAAATAAACGGAATGTAATGAGTATTTACCTGTAACAAACGGGATTCTCAACACTCAAATCGTAAATAATTTCTGCTTCGGTCGCAAACGTCCGTGTCTGATGAAATAGTTCGGTAGACTGCACTCGGCACCCTTTAAAAATTCATATGTAGAAAATTAATATTCTTCTAATAAGTTATTAATAGCATAGGATAAAAATCGTGCAGTTTTGCTTTACGAAAGCGCTTTACTAGGCTGCACTAAAAGTATCGGGAATAGAATATTTCCACTATTCCTGTCATATTAAAATCTTTTTAATTGAAACTCCTTGGTTTTAAAAATCGAATACCATTTATTTATTTAAAAAAAGATTCTCGGTCTTGTCACAAGGTTTTGTCAAACTTGTTTAGTCGTTGCGAAAATGGAATTGACTCGATAAAATTCAAGAGCGATGATTTATAATGACTTTCGAAGTGGTTTAACACAAAAACAGTGTGTTGACCGGATGATTTCTGCATTTGATGATGAAGCCCCATCCAAAACCACAATTTATCGCTGGTTTGCTGAATTTCAACGTGGACGTGTCAAGCTCAGTGATGATCCCCGTCAAGGTCATCCAAAAACTGCAGTCACCCAAGAAAACGTTGATGCTGTGCGTAAGCTAGTTGAGGAAGATCGACATGTGACATACCGCGAAATTCAGGCAACTTTAAACATTGGCATGACTCAAATACAAATAATCTTGCATGAACAATTAGGTGTAAAAAGTTGTTTTCCCGATGGATACCGCATTCGCTCTGTGAAGAGCAAAAAGCGGCTCGCGTTACTTTTTCGTCAGAACTCTCGAAAGATTTCACGCGGGATCCTCAAATGCTGTATACAACATCGTATCAGGTAACGAATCCTGGATATACGCGTACGAACCAGAAACAAAAAACCAGTCACGAGTTTTGGTGTTCGAAAATGAGTTAAATGCCAACAAAAATTGTACGTTCACGGAGTGTTAAAAAAAAGAAGGTGGCCACGTTTGTCTCCAAAACCGGCCACGTTACGACTATTTCTCTTGACGGATAAAGAACGGTTAATGCAGAATGGTATGCTAGCATTTGTTTATCACACGTCGTTTCTGAACTCCGTAAAGAGAACTGCAACCGCCGCATCATCCTCCATCACGACAATGCGAGTTCTCACCGCACACAGAACAAAAGAGTTTTTAGAGCAAGAAAACATAGAATTTATAGACCATCCGCCGTACAGCCCCGACCTAAGCCCTAATTATTTCTATACTTTCCCTAAAATAAAGAATAAATTGCGTGGACAGAGATTTTCATCACCTGAAGAAGCTGTGGACGCCTACAAAACGGCCATTTTGGAGATCCCAAACTCCGAATCGAATGGTTGCTTCAATGATTGGTTCCATCGTATGGAAAAATGTGTCAAATTTCGCGGAGAATACTTCAAAAAGCAATAAATACATTTTTAAACAGTAATGTTGTGTCACTTCCTTGATTCCCAAAATTTTCAGTGCCACCCTCGTAATGTGATGACAAATATTTTGAGTGCCCGTATGGAAAAGGAGTGGAATGAAGTTTGATCATGATTTTGTTCTAAAATTTTTTTTATTTATGTATTGATAACAAAAATAACAAATGCCTCTTTGAACTTCAAGTAAATATTAACATATTTCATTAAAATATTAACATTTACTTTAACATTCATGCTGATTTTTATGACGGAAAGACGATTTGGACGAAATGGTGGAATCACTCTTCAAGTTTTTCAAGTTAAAGTTTTCTTTCTTCAGGTTTCTCTGTTTACGTATGCATAAATCTATCTTTTTCGTGTGCGAATGCAAAAGAAGGCATCAATTTGTCTATAGGTTTCTCTGTCTACGTATACAATATATTTCGTAATCTATGGGTATACAGGTATACAAAAAGTACTCTGTGCAGTACGCCCTAGCCGTACATCCGATTCACAGACTATAGTCGTCTAGAGTCTATAGTCGTATAGTATCGTTTTATTAGTCTGTGACAGACTGACGTTTATCCGTTTCGAATTTCGAAACTCGAAAGGAAGGTACCTACTTTTAAAAGCCAAAGTGAAAGTAAAGTAAATTTCTGTTCCGCCTCAAGTCACCGTGTTTTTAATTAAATTAAATCAGTGGCATGGCATCAGACCTTTCACGACTCGAAATCTATATATTTTTTGTATTTTTCTCTTTACATAATGGTGCGTTTTTGCGTGAAAAATGAATGTTTAATACAAATTCACATATTTATTTTTTCTATATTTTCTTCAAATATGTTAATTTTATATTAAAAAAAAAAACTGTTTACTAGAATATTTTAATTTTTTACTCACTTAGTTGAATTTACCTAAGTTTGCTGAATTGAAATTTAAATAATGATGAAAACCTTTTCTTCAGGATCGCATAATAAATGATGAAGGCGTGATAAATAGAAGAAATAATAACATAAATAAATCTAACGTGATTAAAGAGGAAGGAAAATACCAATATGAAAAAACTGAACCCAAAAAGGGGAAAGTTATAGCCTTAATTTTTGTGTCATTGCTATTAGATCTTTTAGCATTTACCATGATTTTACCACTTTTGCCTTCACTACTTGATTACTATAGTAAAGAAGAAGGTCAAGGCAATTCTCTCTATGCAACATTGGTATATGCAGTACAAGGTTTTCAGAAATTAACTGGTGCACCAGATCGTTTTTCATCAGTGCTGTTTGGAGGAGCCTTAGGCTCTATGTATAGTTTTTTGCAATTTTTGACAAGTCCTATTGTCGGCAGTTTATCAGATGCCTATGGAAGGAAACCACTGCTTTTAGTTTGCTTGGTATGTACATTACTTTTCTGTATTTACCTTTTTACATTTTGAACATTCATAACAGTAAAGAAATACAAAAATATACTTTCTTCAATTTTGGAATGTCATTTATTAAAACAATTAAGACTGCATAAATGAGCCACCAGTCAGAGCCATCGGTGGTCAGCGACAAGCAGTTTATATGCTTTTTCTTGTCTTGTATGGATTCACACACAGTGTTTTTAGATGTTGGAAATGCATTTTGAATTAATTACGATAAAAACAAATTTAACTAAAAATTGTGTAAAAAGTAATGAAAAGCAAATATGTGAATTTGTTCTCATATTATGAAGTAGATGTCCGCTACTTGATTTTTAATTTGTTTTCAATTTAGGAGGATGGTCAGTGTTAAGCTCTAACCATTTACACTGTTTTTGGATTTCGGAAATGCCTTTTGAATTAATTACGATAAAAATAAATTTTACTAAATATTGCATATAATGAAATGCAAATATGTCAATTTGTTTTTTTAACACAGATACACTCATAAAAAAGTTTATCACTCGGACCCAGACAATCCATTTTTGGCTGGATATGGGACTTATATACAACTAATTGAGTTGCAGTAGAGAGCAGTCAAGAGGTTTTTTAGAGAACAAAATTATAACAATTCACATTACATTATTTCATTTAGTTGTTCATTCATGCTCGGAGTTTCTCTGCGTGATAAACTTAGAAATGAGAATATCCGCAGTAGAACCAGAGTGACCGACATAGCCCAATGGATTAGTAAGCTGAAGTGGCAACGGGTCGGCCATATAGCTCGAAGAACCGACAACCGTCGGGGAAAAAAGGTTCTCGAGTGACAGACTCGTACCAGTAGGCGAAGTGTAGGGCGACTCCCCACTAGATGGAGTGACGACCTGGTAAGACATGCAGGAAGTCGATGGATGCAGGTGGCTCAGGACTGTGCTTTGTGGCATACCTTGGGGGAGGCCTATGTTCAGCAGTAGACTTGTGAAGGGCTGTAATGATGATGATATTTCATTTACCACTATCATATCATGGTGCAACCACACTTTATAGATAAGATTGGTCAAATCTGTTCTAAAACCGAATTAGCACACCCCGACTCCACGCCGTCTTGTCTGTCCTACCCCTAGAATGTTTTTGTAAAGTCGTAGGCACAGAGGGAGAGCAGCCCCCACCCTCTGTATCTGTATCATTCTATGTCCTTATCATATCTCCCGACCCTGCTGAATACACATCTCAAATATACAAACTCATCTACTTGCTCGATCAACTCACCTTCTATTCTTGTTTTACATATCATTTTACTTTCTTCTCTTTCAAAAACCATAACTTTCGTCTTACTTGCGTTCACTTTCGTACCCCTTTTTTTTAAAGACCTGTTCATTAATGTAACCATCATTTGCAACTCGGCCGCCGACGACGCAAAATAACTTGATCATCGCGTACAAAAGGCATTTGATGGTTAACTCACCCATTCTTAATCTGCATTCTTCAGCTTTCAAATTTTCCAAACAACTGTCCATAAATTTTTTCCATCAGTTTCTTTCATGACCCTTTCAATTAGTATAGGTATTTAAATAAAAGAGTAATCTGCCATTTTTTTTAATATGTGTGAGCAGCTATGCAGGTCTAGGTAAAGAGACCAGTATCACTGCGACCTAGAAGATCTATTGTGATCGCTGCTATGGCTATAATTCACTGCTAAGCCCTATGTCTTCAATGAATTGAAGGAGTTGCTTAGCCGTGAGCAATTTCACTTCTTCTGGGCGGAGTAGATAGTGTCCCAGATGAGAGTTACATTTGCGCATTAAAGGTCCGCAATCGGTTAGGATGTGTAAAGGTGTTTCTTCCGTTATGGAACAGAACCGACACATCCTTGAGTTTAGGTTTTTCTTTATCTTCATAAACCTTATAAGCTTGTTCAGAATAAAGTGGCTCCTGATTACTGCGATGTTCGGATTTACCAAGAAATGCTTCAAATTTGTCTTTAATATCCGTGCTTTCAGGACATATTTTCAACTTCCATAATGCCGCTACTATTTTTTCTTTTAATTTATTGCAGTCTTGTTCAAATCTTCTAAAGTTCTTTGCCTATTATGGAGAGTCCACTTAACTATTTTTTCTGATTCTAATCTATCTTTAAGTTTAGTTGTAAGAACTCTAGTGATTGTTTCTATGTTTCACTTAAACTTTAGTTTGTCAGTAGATTTCCGCTAAGTTTCTGTTTACTTCGATGTGAAGCACGGTAGCAGATACTGCGGGCTGATTGACTTCCGGATGTAAAGCACGATAGCGAGATACAGCAGCCTGATAGACTTCCGGATGTGAAGCACTGTAGCGTGCTACAGCTGCCCGTTTTACTTCAGGGTGTGAAGCACTGTACTGTGCTACAGATGCTCGGTTGGCGCCTGGATGTAAAGAATTATAAAGTTCTACGGTTTCTCGACGTTTTTCAGGGTGTTTTTGTCGGTAACGAGCCGCAGCTTCTCGAAGTTGTTCAGATCATGACAGTTCGGATACCTTAGGTCTTCCTTTTTTAGTTTTAGTTGGTCTACCGCCTTTTCCCTTATGCTTCATGTTCAATTCACTTTGCGTAGAGTTTAAGTCATATAATGTATAGCAGTATCTGATGTTACAGAAGTGTAATGTTATGGGATCAAAGGGGGAAGAAGATGGAGAGGCATCTCGTATAGGAATGAGTACATCGTAGTGGCCGCTTAAGTAACTACCGGTAAAACGTAAACACTTTTTTTGGCCAGCATCGCCAAAGGAACCTCGTAGTATACCGTTCTCATACACTTCAAAAATGAAGGGATAGATTTTTCCAGCAGTCATAAGCTCAGAAGCTGAGCCGTAAGTAGTGGGTTTCATCATATCGCTCCTGTAGGATTGCGCGCTCGTGTATACGTCACCATCAGCATCACACGTGTACACTTGCATTTCGTCCCAATGTTCAGCAACGTATGCAACTATAGCAGATCTGATACTGCAAGTTGAGTCAGTTCTACCATACACCAAGAAAGATATTGAATGGAAGAGACAAGACCCGTCTTTGGGCATACCAACTACTTGGTAGCCACTAAGTTCATCGTCGTCTTTTAATATTATCGACATTTTTTTACGATATTATCTTGCGAAATCAAACACAAATAAACTCAACGACCTTTAGTATATGGACAACAAATCAGAAATACCGATAATATTTAGACTAAAACAATAATAACCTATATCTTTAAGACTTCTTTTGTCTTAATAAAAAAAAACTCAAAGAAAATATTACTCAGTCTACTCAATCTATACAAACTATAAACAAAACGTTAACTCTTAATTATTAGACAAGTGTCAATATAATTAATTATCAATGAACTTTCTAGCAAAGGTATTACCTCTACCTAGTACTGAAATATAGCTAAATTAATGATATTTTTAAACGAAACGAAGTAATATCTAACTAGATAAACTAAACCTAGAATACTAGAAAAGTACTTATTTACTATAAGGTTATCGCAAAAACAAAACGTAAGCGCGTTTTAAAATACAGTCAGCGCCATCTAGCGACGTGTGCGGGTATCACCGCCACTCTTAGTCCAATGCATTATATTTTGACCAAATTTTGAAATTAATATTTTAGTGTAATTTGTTTATTTAATTTGAGTAATGTTCGAGTAGAATAAAGTTAATCGTTCGACTATTTTTTCTTGTAAACTTGTAAGTATAAGTATAAAAGCCAATCTAGTGTTATCCAGAGTTTTCCTTTAATTTTATTTATATGCGTATTAAAAGCAGAAGGGGAGGCATTCGCCCAGCAGTGGGACGTTATAGGCTAGATTAAATTAGAAGATGTGTCCCACTACGCTGGATTTTTGCAATGACAGTAGATTTTTATGTACCAATTGTAGAAGGGGGCATTACCATATCTCTAATACAGCTGAGACCAGCTGAGGGTTCTTCATCAGATACTTTAGACCTTCGATTTTTGACATCAAATGAAGCGGCCCACCAAGTTGAATATTTTTTGTAAAGGCGATATGTCGATCTCTTCTAATAGTTTGGTTGGGCTCTTGTGTTTTCTAATCAGGGTCACCAGGTACTCCAGATGTTTGATTATCCTAGTCTTTATAGTTTTGCCTTTATGTGGCCATTAAACCCTAACTCTGTACGAAATTTCAGCTCTCTGAGTTTGTGGGAAGTACTAGTTCTATTCTGATGATCATGAGTGAGTGAGTGAATGTCATAAATGCGAAACTTTGCTTTCGCTTAACTTCGGAATTAAGTGACCTACAGACTTGAAATTTTGGATTTTAAGTATGTGATTATAGTTTACTGGATGACGAAAATTTCTGCGTTCTGGTATTATCCAGAGGTTCTCAAATAGGGGCCTGAAAATGCGGCGAAATGGTTCCAGTAAAGGATGGTACGGCAGTGTTTGCTTCGCGCTCGACTTGGCGGGGGCACTGCCGTGCCCCCCGATATGGTACACCTTCGGATGTGAAGAGTTTGGTGATGTTTCCAAAGTCTTCCATAGACTGCGGAACGATTTTAATTGTCTCACCAAGGTTGGTGGCTTGGTCATATTTAAAGCCTGCTTCGTAACAGACTTTAGAAAGTCTAGTAAATTGCGCCTTGTCTCTGAGGAAGACAGGGGGCATGACCTGTTTATTTGTGGTAGCGACGAGGGTTGCTGTGGAGCGAGCAGGCGCGGGGGCTGCAGGGGCGGGAGGTGCGCGAGAGGTCGCAGCGCGTTTCGAACCCCGCTTGGATTTCACTTCCGTGAAGGGGGTCGTATCAATAACCGATTGAACGGACTCTGATGAGTTCCAGGAGCAGCTGCTGGATGAGGAGATTGACGTAGGAGCGGACCTCTTACTGGTGGACGAAGTTTCAGACACGGTGTCCGAGTGCTCCATGGCTTCGGAGTCATTTTCCGCTAAGAATGCCGTGATGGCGGGCGGAGGGTTACATGCCTGAGGGGCAATGGGGACAAGAGCCCTGAGGAG